TGAATGGAGAAATTCAAACTGGAGATTTCCACAAGTGAAATTTAAAGTAATCCCCTTGTGTCATATATATAATTCAGATATAAATCAAATATTGCCTGGAATAAGCATTCATTTTTTTACCCTACATGGACACAGTTCATAAATCTAGATTAAAGAGCATTCATTTCTGTCTCATTTATGAAAATGCCCCCGGATGATACATTTTATTTGACGCAGTTTTAGTGAATCTGCCTAGACAGAGAAATGCCAGTTTGATTTGCTTCAGAACATTCTTTGCTTTGCAGATATAAACCCACAGGGATCTGATCCCAGGAGGACATCTTTGTACGGGGAGAGAAAAGGAGGACGGACAGCAGGCTCAGATCTTGACTAGCCTTAGGGATCAATCAAACTTTTTTTAGTGGGATGATGTGAATAATCTCACTCATGCATTCTGGGTTTATTATTCACACTATGGAACCACATCGATGCACATCTCTGCAAGTTTGGTTGCTCACACGTGCCAGCACTCAGATAAAGATGAAGTCGATGATATGAATGTATTCAAAATGCATTCAAGACATGCAGAGTTTAATCCTTGATCTATTCACATTGGTTATTCATACTGCTGACGATGCAAATCTTTTTAAAAATATTTTTATTCAAAAATGTAAGCAAATAAAATAGTAATCATACGAAACTCTTGATGGTTCATTCTACAATGACCAGTTTAAAGATTACATTCTTCTTCTTAGTTGACTTCCAAACCTCCAGCCTTCTAAGTAGATTAATAATTTAAATTAGATTGACCTATATTGATGCAAATCTTTTTAAAAACTCAGGGGAAGGGAAATGGCATCGATTATCCCAGGTTAATTGTGGGGTTTTTGCAGCCCCCCCCCAAAAAAAATTAACCGAGTGCATTTGGGGTGCATGTGAACAAGGGAGATTCATTCTGGATTGTTTTCACCATTTGAATAATCTCGAAATCGCTGTCCATGGTCCTGGTTGAACTACTTAGTCCCATCTCCATTGCTCTTTCCTCCAAGCATCTCTCTCCAGTAAGACATAGCTATTCCTTCACATGGCATCCCCTGCCTTTCCCAGAAGCTGTGTCTGCTGCAGCATGACTAGGCTTCTCTTGTCTCTACATGGAAACATGGAGAGGATGGGAAGGGATTCCTGCTGGGAATCTACATGAAGTCTGGGATTAGCGACTTGATTCAGAGAGAGCCAGAGCAGTGTTTTAAGAGGGAGGAGGGGAAGAGAGCACTGTTTTATTTGGATTTTTCGTGGTTGCATTTGAGCTGTTTCGTGAAGGTTTTTGTGATATACAAATGCATTGTGGGCCTGGCAGCTTCACACAGAGTGGCTAGGATTTTTGTTAAGCTGCCTGTCTATTGTGAATACATAAGGATTAATAGGAAAGTGTCAGACACCCACAAATATGGTTCAGTTTTGTTTTCCTACTTTTCTGATCAGTAGGGTATGGAGAAAGAGCCAACGTGATGTAGTGGTTTGAGCGCTGGACTAGGACTCTGGAGGCCAGGGTTTGAATCCTGACTCAGCCATGGAAACCCACTGGCTGGACCTTGGGAAAGTCACACTCTCTCAGCCCCCTCTGAAGAAAGGTGCCAAGAAAACCCCATGATAGGTTTGCCTTAGGGTCGCCATCAGTCAGAGACAATGAAGGCACACAACAACAAAGATATGGAGGGAGGTTTAGTTTCTCTTTGCCTTTGTCATGACCTGGGGTGCTGAGCCTTGCCAAGGGTAAAACAGGACATTTTTCATCTGCCAGTGACAGACAACCCCCTTTCTTTTCTCCACTTGAATCCTATTCAGTCAATCTCTTAGCAAGGTGATTATCAGCACCTCACCCGATCACTTTTTGCCATTCTCTCAGAAGCTGAATTCTAGGAAGCCATTCACCCACCACCACCACCTCACACCTATTTTTAAATGTGTATTTCACATTTTTCTCTGATTCCTCTCCTCTTGGGATCTTTCTTCAACTTTTAAAAAACTTAGGCTAAATCCCTATACCTACATTGATGGTAATACTCTTGATCTGTCTGTTATTTCCTCTTGTTCAGCATATCACCTTTTGCCTTTTTCCTCTTCTTGATTTTCATCATATCATACATTTATTTTACTTCACTTACTTTCCTCCTCTTCTTCTTCCTCTTTTGTATCAGTCTTTCCTTACGTTGGTACTACTAATGTTTTGTTATTTGCAACTCATTTAACTCCTCTGCTTATAGTTTAAGCTGCTTTGGGTCCCATATAGGAGAAAGTGGGGCATTGATAAAAATAAAATGCTTGCGCTAAGTTATTTCTCATCTTCTTTAGAGTATTACTGGTTTCCTTACAGCTCTCCCCACACATGCACATACACAGAGTCATCTTGCTCCAATACCTTTGCATAAACATCACATGCCTTGAGAGTTTATGCTTTCCTTTTGTGACTGCTGTCAAGGCACTTTGTGGCTGAATCACATATGTGCAATGCGCTGACATAATCCAAATAGGATGTTACTGGTG